CGTGCTGGAAAGCAAGGGTACGGAGATCTCTGCGTGGCTGCTGCGCTCCACCTTCTTCTTCTTGACCTGCCCACGCAACGGCGGCTCAAGGAACGCCGCGAGGAGCAGCGCCAGCACGGCTGCACAAGAGTGGAGAAAGAGCAGCGAGGCCACATCGATCTCTGAGAGGGTGGTTGGCGGTGATTAGGTGGCGGCGAGGGCGCCCGGGCGGAGATGGAGAGGCGGGGAGGGCGGCGGAGCATGCCCCCGTGAGAGAGGCCAGACGGTGTGGGAGAGAGCGGAGAGTCGCACACCTTTGTGTCCGTCACTTCGGCCTCGATCTTGGAGTGGGCCGTGGCAGTCGTGCAATCCGCCTCGTCCGTCGTGGAGCCCGGGACAGGCTTGTTCTGTGAGAGGGGGGGCGGGGGGCGGGGGGGAGTAGGGGCGGAGGCGGGGACGGCGCGCAGCGGAGGCGCCGATGTGGGGCCGACGGTGTGGGAGCGGGGAGCGAGGGCGGGGCGAAGGGGGGGCGAGAGAGGGCGGAGGGCGGCGCAGGGGAGGGCGGCGGAGCAGAGAGGCGGCTAGGGAGGTGGGGGGGGCGGCGGGGGAGGGCGGCCGGCAAGGAATGGTGTTGGGGAGGGGGAGAGGGGTGAGGGAGGTGGCGGCGGCGGAGGAGGGGGCGGGGAAGGAGGTGGGCGGCTGGGGGAGGGCGGGGGCGGGGGCGGGGGCGGGGGCGGGGACGAGGGTGGTGGGGGGAGAGTGGGGGGCGGCGAGGACGCCCGGGCGGAGATGGAGAGGCGGGGAGGGCGGCGGAGCATGCCCCCGTGAGAGAGGCCAGACGGTGTGGGAGAGAGCAGAGAGTCGCACACCTTTGTGTCCGTCACTTCGGCCGCGATCTTGGAGTGGGCCGTGGCGGTCGTGCAGTCCGTCACGTTGCTCGTGTAGCCCGAGGCCTCGATCGGATCCTCAGAGACGCAGAGCTCGGCGAGCGGCAGCGGCGGCTCCGCGCACCACACAGGGGCGCCGCCGCCGCCGCACGTAACACCGACGGAGTTGACGGTGGAGTCGGCGAGCGAGCCGTCGCCAACGATGGCCGCGCCGGTGGTCTCGCCAAAGGAGGCGAGCTCGGCGTCGGCCGCGGCGCCGATGGGCTTTAGGGTGGTCGGGGCGGCGGCGCGCGAGGCGGCGCCGCTGAACTTGGAGAGATAGGCCGGGATGGAGAAGGTTGGATGGAAGGTGGCGACGTCCGGACGGGCACCGAACAGCGCCCCCCCACCCCCGAGGACGTCTTGGTGGAGCAGGAGCTCCGCGGCCTCGTTGGGTTTGCGCGAGGCAGACGCCGCGAGGGCGAGCGTCGGCGCGTCGGTCTCGAGCTTGGTGCTGAAGTCGGTGCGGTTGCGCGTGTCGATGAGTGCCCCCCCGCGCCGCGGACGGGGGCGAGAGGCGGCGGTTGAGGGCGTCGCGAGAAGAGCGAGGGCGAGCATATGGCGGCGTGCAGCAGATGTAGGCGGATGAGAGGGCAGAAAAAAACGCAGAATTGTGTTCTTCAGGCCGGCTCGCACAGTAGTGTGTGTACGTTGGACGAGGTGTGGTGTGGACGCGAGAATACTTAGCTCCGCCGTTCATGGAGGTAACCGATGCGAGTGCGCGGCGCATCCCCGGCGGCCCGACGGTGGCCGGCGCTTGCGCGCCAGCCCCGTCCGCCGCCGGATCCGCGGCCGCGGGGTCCCTGTCATAGCTACCGGTACGCGTGCCTTGGGGCGACTTTGTTATGTACATTATCTCGTGCAACGACCAGGAGCCTTCGGAAGGCTCGCTGTGTGAGTCGGCCACGCAGAGTCGCGAAACCTGGGTGGGAAGAGGTCGGCCTCGACGCCTCGACGTAGGTGGGCCGTCCGCGCAAAGTCCTCGATGAAGCAGAGCAGCTCGAGCGGCGTCTGCTGCGCGATGGACGCGCAGGCGCTCTGCTGGACCCGAGCTCAAAAAGTAGCAGGAAGGGCTTAGAAGGCTCTAAAAGGGGCTCCCAGGCACTAAATTTGTCCGCCCGGCCGATGCAAATGTCGTTTTGTGTGTCCCCCCACTGAAAACGGACTCCGGCAAGCACTTTTTTGGCGCCGTGGCCGTGCTCGGCGCGCGCAGCGCGCGGAAAATCGTAAATCGGTGCCATTTTAGCCCCCCGCTACCCGGTTGCACTCGTGCGACGTAGCGGGGGGCCTGTTGGAGAGTGTGAACTCAAACCTACTTCCTGACCGTAGCCTGACCGTCCTTGTGTAACCGTCTCATGTTTGGTTTGTCCTGCTGTGCACAGTGTCATCGACTTGTATCCGACTTGGTGGCTGTGGTGATGTAGCGATGGTGTGGGTCTCTAGTGACCTATACAGCTCCTCCGTGTTCCGTCTCCTGACATGGTACCTCCGGTGAGATAGTGGCTGCCAGTTCGAGACTGGGGCCGATCGAACTTGAGTTGTTCGGAGGAGGAATCCGGCCAGCACGGGTACAAAGAGGGGTACCCGGAGAATCCCCACCTGCGGAAACGTAGTGTCGCTCA